ACCGAGCGCAATGGCGTTCTAGGATTCATATAGCCGACCCCACTTAGTGGGAAAAGGCTTTGTTGTTGTTGTTGTTGAACCATACATATTATTTCTCATCCATGAAATCAACATTTTAACGTTCTATTCCTATGCTTGTAACCTTCATTCTCCATCCTTTAATAAACCAACCCAAAGTTAATGGTTTTTCAACTTAAAACACCACCTCTTCACTCATGCCACTACCCCTTTTGACATGTATATGCGGCAATATATATATATATATATTAATTAAGAGAAACTAGATCGTTTACTAATAACTTGAATATAACTACTAGTAAACAATCTAAACTCTTAAACCCCAACTAAACACACTCAAATAAGCACAAGATTAACAAGGATGTCATTTCAACTATAATTCCCTTCTAGGTCTAGATGCTTGGTAACGAAAGAAGTATCTCATAAATCTAATGTCACATATCGGAAAATTCGACTTTTTCCAAAAATTCTCAAATTTTACAAGAATGAAGGTCTCAACAAGTAGAGTAAATTTTATATTTGTGGCCAAGTCCAATTTGACCGGGAAGGCTCTCAAATTGGCTCGTATCCATCGAAAACCCTAAGGTGGGTGTTCTTCAATTCGGCTTCCTTGGTGTTCCAATGCCCCTACAACTAATTGGGTCTTGTTCTTGGGTCCAAGAGAAGTTGATCAAGGGTGATGTGAATGGTGATACTCTCCAGAATGACAATTCGTCGTCGAGAACCCCCGGGTTCTCCTATGGAGTTCTACATGAAATAGACCTTAAAAACCCTTGATATTTGGTGGAGGTGGAAGGAGGAATGTAGTTGAGCAGGTTGCAGGTGAAGGAGATAAGAAAATCAGTTGAGAAATGGTAGAAATTTGCATGAAGTTGGCCGGATCAAAACCATTTTTTTTTTTGTGGTGCACGGGTTCACCAAATGGGGGGGACTCCTTTCCCTCCTTTTCTTTCTTCACTCGCCACTCCCGTGGCTTTATCTTTTTTTTTTTTTTTTAAGCAACACAACTTCAAACTTCCGTAATTATACCGTTATAATCCGGACTCGCAAATGGTTTTCGCCTATGCTTTCGTGACTTCAAGACCTATTCGAAAACGTTACTTGTGACCTCGAAAGGTCAACGAGTAAATAATAATTCCAAACTTCACTCTTCGTAACTAGATTAATTGAAATCTAATTTCAAATAAATTAATATAAATTCTCAAAAAGTAATATAAATCTCAATAATACAATTACGTAGATTATAACAGTGAAATCCAGAAACGGGATTTCACACACCCTTATGGTACGCGCTCATAGTTCACTTTTTTTATTTCTGAAGGTAAACAATGTTCCCATCCTACAGAATTTACTCCTGTTTTCTTCACCTTAAATTGATGATCATCCTCTGTTCCAAAAAATTCTGCATGCACACGAACCTTGTCGCCACTTTTCAGATTGAGCTTCCTGTTTGAAAGACTTCCCAGCCAAAGATAATCTTCATGGGAGCCAGTTATGGTGGCATCCATTCACCAGATGGAAAAATAAGTTCGCTGGGAAGGATTAACCACATCAATCCATAAAGACCCACTACACTGCGATGGTCCAAAGAATAAACGATGCACACAGCCAACCCTCCTATATAATCAATACTTGGCGGCACATCAAATTTGACATTTTCATCCTCTGTCACGACATAGGTTAACCATTAAGGAATAACATTTCAAGAGCGACCGATTCCTCCAAATACATCCCCCACGTTCCATTTCTACAACGCGGCGTGCAAAGTTTGTATAAGCAACAATACGAGAAGGGCACAGAGAGAGAGAGAGAGATCGAGGCTATCATGCAACAAAATATAAAACTCATCTAGGACAATTATGACTATTGTGAATTGGTAATATTATCGATGGATATGTTATATGATCTTCAAACTCGCTATAGCATGATTTTTTTTTTTTGTATCCTTTTCGTCAACTTCATCTGTTTTTCTATTAAGTAGAGATGATAAACTTAAAATTCATCCCACAACCTAAAAAATGGAAAAAAGAAAAAAGAAAAAAAGGAGGTGGATGTACAAAATCCTTGCTATGCCCTCTATATTTAACAAAAAAATAAATTGAGTTAACGGATATAATTGAAGTACCACATGAGATTGAGTTTGAGAACCACAATAAGAAAATAAGAAAAACTATTCTAGAATGAAGGTAAAATTCGTGACAACAATGCCGTATATCTAAAAAATAGTTCATGCATATTTAGATGTTAACACATAGTCATTTATCTCGTTTATTGAACAAACAACGAGGACAACAATGTTGTTTTCTCTCTTTTGAAATTCATAAACAAAATTGAGATTTCTTGGTGACTCCTCTGTCCCTCAGGACCAACAAGGGGTAATACAGGAATATTCACCTGTTGTCCATTGACTATGCCTTTTGGCCTGATCTTAGGCCCCGACTCACTCTCCGTGGACAAACCTTGCGAAGGAACCTTTAGGTTTTCGGGGCATCGGATTTTCACCAATGTTTGCGTTACTCATGCCGACATTCTCGCTTCCGCTCCGTCCACGTCTAATTGCCATTTTGTTTGGGCTTCTCCTTTCTGTTCTTACCGTCTCTTCCATTTGGAAGCTTCTGGTCATTAATTTTTTTAGCTTCATTAGAAGATGCTCCCATTTGGCCCCTGTAAGGAATGAAATTGAATTTCGTGTTCAGCTATTTAAAGATTCAACTCTAAGTTTTGTCAATAGCAATTAAGTAAGAACAGGTATGATCAAGCTTATAAACAAATCACAACAACATTACAAATCAGAAACATGTACAAGGTAATGCAGTTATATCCAATTCTTTTGTGCTTTCTCCACAAAAGTTCCTCCACATTAACGTAACTCTATATCAATTAATCTATCATACAAGACTAGAAATAATCGGCAATTGAAAAATAAGACAACACGAGCTTCCGTCCAGTAAAATTTTCATCCAAAGACAGTAGGCAAAACCAAAAACGTACAAACCTTCAATGCCGTTGTATAATCTCTCCCTTCCCAATATGCTCATCAAGCAATTCCGGCACATTACCAGGAGTGGCGAAGGGATACCTGCAATTAATAATACATAATATTCATACTCCTTCATCGATCCCAATACGATAAATTTTAAATTGTTATGATCCAGATATTACCAATGATCTGTTATGCTTCCATCTGAACCTAGGTTGTAGATATCCAAGTTTCCAGCATACTTGTGGCCTCCAATGTGAAAGCAAGCAGTAACGAATACCTGATCCGTCAATCCTCGCAGCTCAGCCTCCTGTTTGAACTTATCAATGAGAGTACGTGCATGATAACGATCCCATTTATCTTGACTCATACGTGCGCATATAAATACATAGGGGCCAGTCAGCGGCTCTTGCACTCCAGAAGCCCATGGTTTGTGATTCATAAGGACATCATCAACAAAGCTGTCCACATCCGACTCTTTCAAGCCCCTTTGATCAACAAACAAAAACAACCTCAAAATCACAAGAAAGGATTTACAGGCAAGCAATTAGTCGTAAACGGAGCCATTAAATTCAATTTCTACAACTAATTTCAGAAGCTAACACATATCTAATTATCCATTTAGGTCAGTAAATTCATGTTGGTTATGGAATGGGCCCTCGATTATGAATTAATTACGGTTTGCCATTGTGTGTGCTAGTGTGGCCCATGCTTAACAGCTGGGTTGGGCTGCTGCATTTAGGTGTGTGTTTGCTAGCTGGCTGGCTGGTGGGTGAGTCTTAGATACAAACCCAATCTTATTAATTAAATTTGGCCTTTGGTGTGCTCAAACTGCTATGGGGGATGGTTAGAATTTTGAGCCCGGGATGCAGTAGGACCAAGAGCAATCCACCACTTGCAGAATTGTTGTCAAAGTAACTCTGCTAAAAATATGAGCTATACTTCCTGCACTATGCTTTTACTGTGAAGTGGAAATAGTCTTTAGAGAGGCTTATTTGGGATAATTGATAAAGAGGTTTGTGTTTAAGACTTGAGAGTAGTGCGGTGTCTTTCTTGCTGGTTCTGCTCACACCACCTCATCTAGCCATTGTGATGGAGTACACGGCTGGGTGAGAACACTTGGAGAGAATATGCAGTGCTGGCAGATTTAGTGAGGATGAGATAAAGTAGTTTCCAACGCAGAGAAAATTTCATTGGAAATGATTTTAGTGTAGAGTCTCAAATATGGGATCTCTGAATGTCCCCTGAAATGGAATCCATCTCAATTTTCGTTTAGTTTCAGATAGGGAAAGTTAGGTCTGAAGCATTTTTACATAAATAGTCAGTCATAATATAACTAAAACTTACTTTTTCGATTTAATTGTTGTTTTGCATCAAGCAAGGTTTTTCTTCCAGCAATTATATCAGGAGTTAGCTACTGTCATTTAATGGTATGTAATGTGGCACTTTTTTGCTAATGCGTTGTATACTGTTATTTCTTTCTCTTTTGATATTGGAAGTGTTGGTTGTATTAATGAAATAATTCGTTTCAATAGTATATGACTTAGTTTTAATAGTATTATTCAGTTTTCTAATAGCACTCGGGTGGGAACGTGGGTCGGCTCATGTTTTAGTCTCTCCATCGTAAGCAATTTTACATGGCATTCTTCAATGTGGCTATAGGTAAGACAACACTCTCAGTATTCCATAATCAAACCACCATTTGAACTTTTTTCGTCCACCAAGTTAAGCTTTTATGTGCCATCTTGAATAGTTATAAGTTATTGATTCAGATTGCTCCAGTGAGACATTGTTGTTCTATTGCTTACCTCTCAAGCTTGCTTAATATACTTATTCTTATTACTGTTGTATTGTTAAGAAATACTCAACTGCGATTTCAGTTCATTGTTATGAATCAGATTCAAATTAACCACTCACTAGTTAATTATCTAAATCCTATAAATTTGGATTAAAATTAAAGCAACTCCAGAACAAAAACCTCAAGAAATCGATGCGAATTTACCTGTATTTGATCATTTGTGGGAAAATCAACACATCGCCGTCGGAAAACTCAGTTCCTTCATGTCCTTCAATTACAGTCATCGACGTCTATCAAAAAACCAAGAAAAAAAGTAAGTAACGGAGTCAGCTCAGCTCAACACCAGAACTCAGTAGCTCCAGGAAATAAGAAACGTCAGAAACACCAACGAATTGGGTTGGAAAACGGACCTTAAAGGTGATGTCGTTCTTGCGAGCTTTGAGAGCGGAAGTGAAGAACTTAGGGAGTGGATCGGACTTAGAGCCGTTGATGCACCACGGCCAGGCCTCGGGGGTCTTGTAGCAGAAGAAAACGTGGCGAATGTCCAACTGTGTATCGTCATCAGTGTCTTCATCAGACAAATCCCATTTTACCATATCCACTCCTGTTTTGTTCTCCTTAATTCTATTATCTCCTCCATAAAATTCCGCTTTTAGAAGAACCATGTCACCGCCTTTCAGATTGAGCTTCTTGTTTGAAAGATTTCCCAACCAAAGATAATATTCATGGGAAGCAGTTACGGTGGCCTTCATTGGCCAGATGCGAAACTTAGTTCGCTGGGTACAATTAACAACATCAATGCATAGAGACCCGGTAGAGTCGGAGTTGTCTAAAGAATAAACGATGCCCAAAGCCAACCCTCCTATATAATCAATACTTGGCGGCACTTGAAATTTGACAGTTTTATCCTCTCCCGTGACATAGGCTAACCAGTTAGGAATATCATTTCCGGAGAGAAAAATTCCACCAAATGCATTTCTCTACAACATGGGGTGCAAAGTCAGTATAAGCAACAATACAGAGAGAGAGAGAGAGAGAGAGAGAGAGAGAGAGAGAGATACCCTTCGGAGGTTCTCCTTAAAAGTATCAGTGAGACTGGTACACCCTTCCATAAGAATTGAATACATGTGGTCCAATGAGTTCTCCAAGTTTGGAATATCTTTGAGTTTGCGGCAGTTCGGCAAATCTGACATTGTTTTACCTATATTGCCCATACCCCTAATTCCAATTATTTGAACATCAGGTGAACGTCCAACATCTAAGTATTCAGTACTGACGTCTAAGTATTCAGTACTGAAGTTCTGCACACGAGAAGTCATTCCATCTGAGTGCTTGGCTTCTTTTAAGTCTGCAGTTTTCAATAGTTCCTTGATGTTCCCAACAATTTTCTCGATAAACACTCCTTCACGCCTACGAGTAGGAATTCCAAATTACGTGAGCCATACTAAATGCCTTATTCATAATGACTAGATATTTACATATTGAAACAGATTTGAATAAACTGGATTAATTGAGCTCAATTCAACCACGTATCTAATCTTCGATTATAATGTAAATACATCAGATCATTGGTCATCGGACTATTACACAATTGTAGCCTTCAGATTTATAATTAAGAATCCATAACAATTGGTATTTTAATTTGATAAAGTGGAGCATTTGTCCTTCACACACCCATAAAAAACAAAGCACGACCCTACATTTCACTTCCTTAATTTCAATGAAAATTCTTATGAAAATGCTCTACCTTTTATAAAATTCATATACCAATTATAATAAATTTTTATGTAGGGACCAAAATTACAGTTCTATCATTGTTCAGGATCAACGATCCAATTTTTCTTCTAACATATAAACTCAGATCCAATGCCTTAATTATAAAATCTTAATTTTGGTTGATTAGTGAAATATGGTGATACGAAATTTGAAGTAAACAAAAAAGTATACCCGTCGGCCGTGGTTTTGAGGTTCCAGCCAACCAAATCTGCAGAAGCCTTAAGATCCTCTCTCCACTGCTTGACCTCGTTTGGATCTTCATCCCATTCATGCTTCTGAAATGCTTTCCCAAAACTATCATTCTGTTTCCTGACTTGAGAAGGGTCAACGTCGTAGAATATTGGACATACTATTTTCCCCTCTTGATCTTTTAGGCACCTCATGATCTTCGACAGCTCCCTCAGGCACCATCGGGACTCCGCGTACCTCTTCGAGAAGATGATGACGGCGATTCTCGACCCTTCGATTTCTTGGTCAAGTTCACTCTGTATGTTTCCCCCCCTTGTGAGCTGGTAGTCTATGGAAGTGTTGATTCCGGCATTGCGTAACGCAATGAAGAGGTGGTCTGTGAAGGTAGTGCGCGTGTCGTCGCCTCTAAAGCTCAGGAACACCTCGTACTTCCACCGGTTTGAGCTCTGCGAGGAAGACGAAGAGGCTGCAACGCCGGCTCCATGGGCGGAGCTGCTGGTATCCATTGTAGCCTGTAGAAGTGCAGCTTGGCTTTCAAATAACCAAAGTCAAGTCTTTCCCAAGATTCCCCGGTGTAGGCAGCCCTTTTAAATTTTTTTGCATGGGTCAATGATGTCACTGCCGTGTCGATAACGTGTGAGTGCTATTCCTCCGACAATTTAATTTGTATAAATGTCACCATCAAATTTTAATAAAAATTGTATAACTGCTACGATGCAATTTCCTTTCTTCTGTAGTTTTTTTGAGAAATCTGCTGCCCAATTTTGACCAGTTGACGTGCGCAGGTCAATCCAACTGTCCCTGCTGGTGGACGGAAGAATCTTTGTTAGAGTAGGAATTCCAAATTACGCTTTATTCATAATGACTAGATATTTACATATTGAAACAGATTTGAATAAATTGGATTAATTGAGCTCAATTCAACCATGTATCTAATCTTCGATTATAATGTGAATACATCAGATCATTGGTCATCGGACTATTACACAATTGTAGCCTTCAGATTTATAATTAAGAATCCATAACAATTGGTATTTTAATTTGATAAAGTGGAGCATTTGTCCTTCACACACCCATAAAAAACAAAACACGTACCCTACGTTTCACTTCCTTAATTTCGATGAAAATTCTTATGATGTGACTGCCGTGTTGATGAAAATTCTTATGATGTGACTGTCGTGTCGATAACGCGCGAGTGCTATTCCTCCCACAATTTAATTTGTATAAATGTCACCATCAAATTTTAATAAAAAATTGTATATAACTGCTACGATGCAATTTCCTTTCTTTTGTGAGAAATCTGCTGCCCAATTTTGGCCAGTTGACGTGCGCAGGTCAATCCAACTGTCCCTGCTGGTGTACGGAAGAATCTTTGTCGGAGTAGGAATTCCAAATTACGTGAGCCATACTAAATGCTTTATTCATAATGACTAGATATTTACATATTGAAACAGATTTGAATAAATTGGATTAATTGAGCTCAATTCAACCATGTATCTAATCTTCGATTATAATGTGAATACATCAGATCATTGGTCATCGGACTATTACACAATTGTAGCCTTCAGATTTATAATTAAGAATCCATAACAATTGGTATTTTAATTTGATAAAGTGGAGCATTTGTCCTTCACACACCCATAAAAAACAAAGCACGTACCCTACGTTTCACTTCCTTAATTTCGATGAAAATTCTTATGATGTGACTGCCGTGTCGATGAAAATTCTTATGATGTGACTACCGTGTCGATAAAGCGCGAGTGCTATTCCTCCCACAATTTAATTTGTATAAATGTCACCATCAAATTTTAATAAAAATTGTATAACTGCTACGATGCAATTTCCTTTCTTTTGTGAGAAATCTGCTGCCCAATTTTGGCCAGTTGACGTGCGCAGGTCAATCCAACTGTCCCTGCTGGTGGACGGAAGAATCTTTGTCGGAGTAGGAATTCCAAATTACGTGAGCCATACTAAATGCTTTATTCATAATGACTAGATATTTACATATTGAAACAGATTTGAATAAATTGGATTAATTGAGCTCAATTCAACCACGTATCTAATATTCGATTATAATGTGAATACATCAGATCATTGGTCATCGGACTATTACACAATTGTAGCCTTCAGATTTATAATTAAGAATCCATAACAATTGGTATTTTAATTTGATAAAGTGGAGCATTTGTCCTTCACACACCCATAAAAAACAAAGCACGTATCCTACGTTTCACTTCCTTAATTTCGATGAAAATTCTTATGATGTGACTGCCGTGTCGATAACGCGCGAGTGCTATTCCTCCCACAATTTAATTTGTATAAATGTCACCATCAAATTTTAATAAAAATTGTATAACTGCTACGATGCAATTTCCTTTCTTTTGTGAGAAATCTGCTGCCCAATTTTGGCCAGTTGACGTGCGCAGGTCAATCCAACTGTCCCTGCTGGTGGACGGAAGAATCTTCGTTGGAGTATCAATGGGAAGAGACCTCATCTCCAACAACCTATCTTAACAAAAGATGCAGAAAATTAAACGCCAAGAGGCTACTTTCTTTATTTTGTGAACAGTAACGAACTAGAAGGATCAGTGTCGTAAAATAAGTAATTTACTTGCCCAAAATAAGAATCAATTTAGCTACGAAACCAAGGAGATGATTGAGCTCAAGATAGCAGCTTTTATCCTATCGTCTTGCAAGGAAAACAAGCTACGAATTGCTTGCATCATCCGAAGCTATCCAACCAATGGTTGAATTTCTCAGTCAAGACTATGCTGAAGGCATCAGTGTGCAGGCCAGACTCGATAGCATAGCCACACTAAACCTCTCGCGCTGCCATCAGATTATTTTGTCTCAGGTCTCTTCGGGCGTAGTGTTCTCAGTAATAATCCAAGGCTTGGAAAAATCAAGCCAACCGGTTGAGAAGGCAATTGTGCTACTTGACGACATTGTTTCTTCATCGAAGACTGCGCTCAAGGAAACTGCAGGTACGTGCAGCACAATCTGGGTGCTGGTTGAGACAATCGAAGGGGGATCGATGAAATGCAAGGAGCACGCAGCGAGTATACTCCTGCTTATATGCAAGAGGTGCAGAGAGAACTACAGAGGACTGATACTGAGAGGAGGAGCAATGCCCGGACTGCTTCAGCTGAGTGGATGGGACGCGCACGGCTAACACTGCGGCATGGAAGTTGCTGTTTCTTTTGACTGTTCCAATTATGGTTCGAGAAACAAGCAATCAAGGAATAAGTTGACGGTGTGAGTACAACGGCATTGAGACCGTTCCAATTATGCAGGAAATTGATGCAGAAGGAGAAAAAGTTGACAGGGTGAGTACAACGGCATTGAGGCTGGTGGAGGACATGCTTGCAGAGATCAGCAGTGGACGATGATCTCGACCAAATTCTGAGCTTTACCAAGAAGATTAAAATGTTGGAACAGCCGTTTATCTCGTTTATTGAACAAACGATGAGGACAACAATGCCGTCTAGCCTCTTTCAAAATTTAGACTTCTTTCTCATAAAAATTGACAGAATCTACGGTTGAATTAAAGTCCAACAGGCAAATTGAAAACAATCACAAGAGCTTAGAAAATACCACACCAACATTTGGCCAGCAGTCTCACAACAAATCCCACTGTCAAGATAAAACCATTCAACAGTGTATTGGAACAACAAATTTCAGTTGTGTAAGCAATCAACATAAAGGAACACTGAATACTTTTGTAACTATATATGGATTAGCTTCGGGAATTCATCAAACCCTCCAAAAAAGAACGTATAGTGTAGCTACCATATTCTCCTTTCATATAAGAGCTTATTTAATTAATGTTATAACACCTTTCTACCAAGAAAAAAAAGAAGAAAATACGGCCTCTACACCCGTGGCAAAACCCGACATGGATTAGAGTACGTTTCAGCCTAACCTTCTGTAAAAGCTATAGGCCACAGCCACTGTTACCACTGCTCCAACCACGGCAGCAGCTGCGAGAACATCGCTTTGCTCCCAGTTCCCGATCAAGCTTGACAGCTTCCCTAGGGAATCCTTCCTGGCACAAGACTCTCTGGTTTCTTTCACCTTCTTTTCCTCACTTCCATCGTTCTGCTCTAAACTTACTTCTTTGCAGCATGTAAATCCTTTACTATTTGCACCCTGGCAACAGCCTGAAAGGTTCTCATTATTCTGAATCTGATTGCCGTTTTCTTGGGGCTTCTCCTCGATTTTCTTTCTCCTCCATTTGGAAGCTTCTGGTCATTAATTTTTTCAGCTTCATCCGAAGATGCTCCCATTTTGCCCCTGTAAGGAATGAAATTGAATTTCAAGTTCAGCCATATAAAGATTCAACTCTATGTTTCATCAATAGCAATCGAGTAAGGACATGTATGATCAAGCTTAATAAACAATTTGACAACAGTGCCTACTTGACCCCGGCCCCCCTTCCCCAAAACCACCTTTGGTTTGGTTTATCTATAAAAACAAAAAAAGTAGTTTGATTTGGTTCACACGAGTTGTTTGATTTGGTCCCTCAATGTTAATGTAACTCCATATCAATAATCTATCATACAACACTATAAGTAATCAGCAATAGGAAAATATGACAACAGAAGCTTCAGTTCCAGTGAACTTTTCATCAGCAGACAGTAGGCAAACCTGAAAACACACAAACCTCCAAAGTCGTTCTATGATCTATCCCTTCCCAATATGCTGATCAAGCAATTCCGGCACATCCTCAGTAGTGACGTAGCCATACCTGCAATTATTAATACCATAATATTCAAATTCCTTCATCTATCCCAATACAATAAATTTTAAATTGTTATGATCCGGATATTACCAATGGCCTGTTATGCTTCCATCTGAACGTGGGCTGTAGACAATCAAGTTTCCAGCATACTTGTGGTCTCCAATGTGAGAGCAAGCAGTAACAAATACCTGATTTGTTAATCGTCGCAGCTCAGCCTCCTCTTTGAACTTATCAATGAGGACAGGTCGACAAACTCCACATCTTTTATCTCGACTACCATGTGCACATACAAATACATGGGAGCCAGTCAACGCCTCTTGCACTCCGGAAGCCCATGGTTTGTCATTCACAAGGACATCATCAACAAAGCTTTCCACATCCGACTCTTTCAGGCCCCTTTGATCAAGAAACAACAAACACCTCAGAATCACAAAAGGAATTTACAGGAAACAATAACCTAACACTCTTTAATTCCTTGTAAGGCAAGGGATTAGTCGTAAACTGAGCCATTAAATTCAATTTCTAGAACTAATTTCAGAAGCTAACACATATCTAATTATCTATTTAGTTCAGTAAACTCAGCACAATCTCGTAATCAAAATAGAAGTTGAAACAGAAATAAAACACTAAATGCGGTCACAACTTGCATTCAATCAATTTCCATGAAAATCACGAGAAATTTTTCTTTGTGCCGGGAACATGGCCCGATACACAAAGTGTAATAATACAATTGGTTGGAAACCACGCCGTGTTACCGGCACCCAACCTCTGAGTAAACAAGGAAAATTTCAAGGTATCAACACCAAAACTAGTCCAAAACACACTAAATTAGCTCAATTCGAGACTTCGTA